GCCCCCCCCCCCCCCCCCCCCCTCCCTCCCCCTCTCCAGCCCCTCTGGGTCCGCCGATGGCTTCGGCAGCACCAGAATCGTTGACGGCATAAAACTGCGTTACATTTCATGGTAAAATATCGTGCATCAGGGTAAGAAAGTACTAGGAGGAAAATAATTTTTGAAAAAAGAATAGCTTGCCTTCTTCAGCAATGGCATTCGCTTGCTGTCTATTATATACAAAGCCGGTATTGCCGGGAGTTCGAGCTTCAGCCAATCGAACAGAGTTCAGCTGCTGTGTTAAAGTTTCTGGAGATACTGTTTTATACATATCTAAAAACCAATCGACCAATAAAGTGAACAAATTTCGATGCAACTTTTGCCGAAAACTAGCAAAGTATCCCAAAAAATCGCAATGTGACGCTAAAAACATTAAACTATTCTAAAAAACTGCATTACTGTTTGGCCTGATCAGCCGATTAAAGCCAAGTGAAAAAACTGTTTCCTGAAATCTTAAAATTAATAAGTATTCGCATAGGCACGGTTGGCTAAAATTGAACAGGCAAGGTATCACGAGCGCTTTGGGCAACAGAAATTTTTAAGTCATAAAAATCATGAAAAAAAATCATAATCATAAATTACCAAGTTATAAAAATCATGAAAAAAAATCATAATCATAAAAACTGAAAAATGCGTATACCATTAGTAGGTGTGGAGGGGGTATCGTGACGTATAAGTGTCATATCATCCAACTCGCTCGATTCATCACCACGCGCTCCGTCACGTACCAGGGTTGGATCGCCTATTTCTTCGGCTGAACGCTCCTGAAATTTTTCTTTTTTTTTGATCAAATATTTCAGAACACAATATGCATTTAAATAAGCTATGCAAATTCCGATCCAGTTTGCTGCAGGTTCTGAAATTCGTGGGATGAGGCATAAAAGGCAAGTCGGCACCAGGTCCACCACGTTTTAGACTGATATAGAAAGAAAATGGAAGCTAATCGCTCACTGGAAGGCTAATCAGTCGACTTATTGCCCCGCTACTTGAGCAACGAAAGGTTTTAAATGCAGCAATGTCAACAGGTTTGAGTTACCACTTGCGTCCTCCCATTTAAATTACATATTTCATATTATTTTTTCCACCACATTAATTAATTTAACAAGGATTATTATTATTACTGTTATTGTTATTATTATTGTTGTTATTATTATTATTATTGTCACTGTTATTATTATTATCATTATTATTGTTATTATTATTATTATTATTGTTATTATTATTATGCTTTTCTCCCACAATTTAAGCCTAATACCCATTCTACAATTTGAGGTCAGGGAGGACCACAGTACTTCTTACTGTTAACATTCATTATATAATTAATTTAAACTTGATACCCATTAAATCCAATAACACAATCGTCGTACTGACGAGGTCCAGTTGTGATAATGGTAAGAAATGTATAAATGGACCGAAACATTTCTTACCATTAAAATAATTCTTGTAATTTACACATTTTGTAACTCTCATCTCCTACCTTGTTTTACTCTTCCTCTTCTTTCATCCGTTGTTAATATTTTTTATTCTATTGCACAAGGTCTACCGGACAGTTACTTTAAACAAAAAAAGAGTTGACCTGAATTTCTTGGCTGGCAAACTCGATGATACTTTGCGCTTCATCAATCATATTCAAAAGCACCGATGATGGAGCTGCGTTTACCACAAATGAATGCTAAAACTGAGAGAACGAAAATTAATGTGGCATATCGAGAATGTTTCTTTAAAACAACAAATAAAAAACACCAAAAAAAAACATAAGAACCAACAATAACTGGATGACCAAAACTT